GGGGGGGGGGGGGGGGCGCACCAGAGCCTGCAGCAATGATTCACGCTGGGCTCAAGCCACCATGGCAGCCCCTTTATCCATCCATTACCGGGGTGGCCGAGGTGGAGCCCGCCGGGTGGAGGTGCACCGGTGTGAAGCACAGCATGCGAGAGCCACAAAGCGAAGATGGGACACCAACGGGAAGGCGATACGAGACGCTCGAAGCGTGCGGGTCTCTCAGCGCGCGACGAGACGCGGAAAAAGACCACGAGTTTAGGCTTGTTCCTCGTCTGCTTCTGGCGCTGCGAGAGGATCCTGCTCCCGAGGCCCGCGGGCGCAAAAAGGCCGTTAATGAAACCACGGCAAACGCTCCCCCCCCCCCCCCGCTCGTTAAGTCTCATCCTCTCCTCCCCTCTAATCTCCCCCCTCCTGCGTGAACGAAGCGCTTCTCCTCTTACCACTCGACTCAAACGCCTCACGTCCTCGTCATTGTTATTGCATGTGGAATAATGTAGATAATTCTCCACCTTTCTCCACCGGGCACGTTTGTTTGTTTGATTACGGCTCCTGCAGGTATTCGGGGTCACACGCATCGTCGCTTTAAGGTGAGTGCGTCTCTTTTATCCTTCCCACTCACATGAAAACGTCCATCCCTCTTTGTTCAGCCTTTATTCTTTCGTCCCATTGTGCACTAGATTTAACCATCCTTTGTCTCAGTTAAATGATTTGTAAAACATTACGCATCTTTTTAAACTGCATATAACAGAAAAGCTTATTTTAACATTTGATTGAAACGTCAAAGAAGTTTGAAACTAAAAGATGTGACTCATCACGTTTGTAAGTGTAAAGGTAGTAATCTGATATATTATTATTATATAACAATGTTCATGTTATTCATGTCACGTGTGCTGACGTACACATTGTGGTGCATGTTTTACGTCTCGTATGCACCGTATTTTACGCACTATAAGGCGCACTTAAAAGCCTTTAAATTTTCCCCAAAAATAAGTGCGCCTCAGTCAAAATGTTTCAGTATGAAAAACCAATAATAAATATGTTTCGGTACGACTGGTAAACTACAAAGCCGCACGGCTTGCAGCACTACGGCTACCAGCACTACGGCTACCAGCCAGTAACCACCGATACTGCGCTCGCTTACAGCTAGGGTGACCAGACGCCCCCTTTTTTTTTTTTCAGGTCTCAAAAAGAGGACATGTCCGGGGAGAAGAGGACGTCTGTCACCCTGGCATAACGCAAACCCAGGTGGAACGTTTGACTGCAGTATTTCATGCGTCTGATAATCCGGTGCGCTCTATGTTTTAAAACAGGTCATTCATTGACGGTGCGCCTTTTGATCCGGTGCGCCGTATAGTGCGGAAAAGACGGTACTATGGGACCCAATGGGGGACCAGGTAATGGGGCATCCAGTTGATAAACAAGAGGTCACAAGGTCAACATGTGAGGTCGCCCCCTGCCGGACCACAAGGCAAACTTCCCCAATCTCTCTCCTGGTCCGTCCGTCCAAACCCTGCCGTTAATCGTCCTGGTCTTATCACTGATGTCGTCTCCTCCTCCACCTTCCATCACTTCTCTCATCCAATCCAAGCCTCCCTCCCCCTTCTCTCTCCCGCTTCCCTCTCCTTCTTTCTGATCCTGAGGTTAATTAGCACTCCAAGAGTCAGATCCCCCCCCCCCAGCCGCCCTGCTAGCCGCCCTGTGATTGCCTCACGGGGGGGAACCAAAAAGAAAGTGGAATAGAGGAGGCTCAGACAGAATAATGATTGTTTTTAGGGGGAGGAAAAGAAACCAGTGAAGCAGGTGATGAAAGAAAGAATTGGGATTGTCAAATGTAATGAACGCGGGAAGACAAAGCGGTCACACTGCAAAGAGGTGATGACAGAAGACTGAGGGGAGGAGGGACAGTAAACACAACACAAGCTAATCGGACGGTGACGTGGGATGAAGACGGGTCGTAACCAGGGCAACGACACCAGAGAGGAGAGGTGATTGACAGAAGGACGGGGCGCTGGTAATTGGACAGGAGGACAGAATAAATGGGGTCTGAAGGCAGTCAACCCGTGAGGAGGGACACGCATGTGGAAGGACCTGCATGCCTTCCTTCTGAGCGGGTTTCCTCACGGCAGGAGCAGTGAACGGCCCCCAGAGGAAGTGTGGGCACTCACCACTCCGAAGTCCAGGTTCTGCTCGATCCAGTCCTGGCCGTCTTTGAACTCGTCGTGCAGACCCATGATGTAGAGGGTGTCTAAGGCATCCACGATGGTCGCGCCCAGCTGAGAGTTTCCTGCACAACACGCACAAGGAAAGACACGCGAGATTCAACTCATTTCGTTTGGCACAGAACCGAACATTTCTGGAGTGGACGTCTGATCACGGAAGACTGCAGCCTGAATGAAGGCCGCCTGATGTGTACTGAGGGAATAAATCCAGACATATAAATATACTCGTATATAAGCAACCGTTTCTTTATGGATACTTACGGATACAACATCTTGCAAACCTTCTATTCCTATTTCTGACACTGTGCTTCATAACTTGAAGTTCTTGGTTCCTCTCTGGCTGTAGAGGAGGAGGAAGCTTCATTAAGTCCCAGTGAAGGAGGACAGACGGAGCAGCGGGAGTGAAGATCAGAAGAACGTAGCAGAAGAGGGTTGTAAAGAGCAAAAGAATATGTATTTATTTTATTAAAGGGCCGATGGACGGCCATCTTTCAAGAGGCAGCTCTGGAGACGACACATTCGTCCCTCAGCAAAGTCCTTGTTTGGTTTCTAAAACTCCTTGTGAAAGAATAGATCCTTCTCTGACTGCGTGTGCTCAAAGCGCTTCACAAAGGAGACAAAGGCTCATCAAAGTCACGATGAGAGGAACCCTCGCCTGCTGCTCAGAGCCGCTCGTGGGAGGTTCTGTACGACTGTGAAGTAAAGTCAGGTGGGGAGGCTCCACAATGCGGGACCTCCATCAGCCTGCATCTGGGACCCGGGGGACGGGAGGGGGGGGGGTATTTAGGCGTCAACTGATCCAGATATAGAAGATCACGATGGAGATCTCAGTGGCTTCTCCAACATTCGTTGCCCCTTTAACATGTTTTTCACTCATCGCAGTGTTAATATTAATACAGCAGAGGTCGTCCACCCGGGCTGATATGCCTCTTAAAGCCCCCGAGGCTCCGAGTCACATTCCTTCAGGGATCTGAAGGATCGGGACGGGAATGAAGCTCGTAACCACCAACTTGTCAGAGCAAGACGGCCGCTAGCCGCATCTCCCCCCTCCCTCACCCCATCCCTCATCCCATCCCTCCCCCTCCCGTCTGTCGCCTGCACCGCCTGCGGGTTCTTCGTTGGCAGTCGCTGCTTCTTGAACCGAGCAGGAGACCAATATATTAACATGAAACAAACACGTTAGGGATGTAACTAACCATCATTTGTATTCTTCTTCTTCTTCTTAGAATAGATTTGTTTCAGGGGTAAAATTTGCATTGTTCTCACAATATGGCCAAAAATAAAAGTCTGTCGTACTTCTGAACCGATCTACGCTGGTGGTTTAATCTTCACCGAGTATTTCCATCATTACCGATTCATCGCTCTTCTTCATCACTATCAAGTCTGTAATTTACAAGACAAAAGAAGCTTAATCGGCAGTTTACTTTCTTTGACCCAAAGAAGTTCCGTTCACTCCCCGTTGAAGGCCGGCGTCTGCGTCGACGCACTCGTTTCAATTCATGCTTCTAAAAGTCTTGCGTGTGTTGCAGAGCGATTCACCGCCAGAACAACAGGCGGAGTGACGTGTTTTGTTGAAGGCGACCTAGAGAGTCACGTCTATTTATTTATTTATCATAGACTTTATTGCCCCGTGCGTCGCCACAGCTGCTTTTCATCGCGGACACATTTGTCCCGTATTTTCCTACATAACTTTGTTCACCTCTCGACCGGCAAACCTGCGTTTGCGGCGATCTCCCTCCGTGAATCCAACCCGCTTCTACAACCCGCCAATGACGGCTCGTATAAGCGCTCATATTTACGCATTTCCTCCGACAAAAGTTCTTAAATCTGCTTCGTTCTCTCGTAAACATCCTTTGTTTTAATAATGGCGGTATCGGGCTATGAAAGCGGAAATCTCCGTAAAGGACGTAGTTAGCGGACCAATCGCAGCCTGGTGCGCTAGAAAAATGTCTCGACACACGCAAGGAGGTGTGAAAAGGCACGCGAGGGACACGCAAGGGGGTCCTCTGCAGCCCTTTCATGCAGCGCCGACTGCATCAAATGAAGCTGCCGCTCTCAAGAGGTGTGTTGAGGGTTGCCAGGCGCTGCTTATCTGAGACAAATTGGCCGGGGGGGAGGTTTTTTTTGGGGGGGGGGGGGGGGGGGAATTATCGCCGCAAGCTTCACACACACACACACACACGCACACACACCTCCGTTCACGGGCTCTGATTGGATTCACGCCCCACACACCTTCCTCCGACCTCACCTCTTCCATCATCACCTCCTCCTCTGGAACCTCGTGGATTCACACTTCTCCGGCAGCCTCTGACATTTTGCTCTGGATTTCCTCCCCCAACCCGTTTATCGGGAGGTCTTTCCTTCCGAGCGGCTTCTCACTCGCTGCACGCGGGTCACCGCGCCGCTTCTCCCCAAAATACCAAAGTCAAAGGCTGTCGAGTGTTGTTGCAACACGTCCAACACAAACGCATTCGGCATATGTGATGAGTAGATTGAGTGTGTGTGCGGAGCGCTCAGCCTCAGGAAAACCACACGCAGGTGGGAAACCTGCTGGTTCGGGGATACCCGGGTATCAGAGCTACGGAGAGCTGCATTGTGGGTAATGCTTAAACGAGCAGGGGGGGGTTACACCGTGTTGTAGAAGCAGCCCATTTCATGTCCCATCCCTGTGGTGATGAAATCATTGCACATTGCCATAAAAAGGGAAATGATAGAAGTGAGATTTGTGTCCTCGTCTGTCCCAGAGCAGTCACAGCTCGTGCCCAGGTGGCTTCTGGGGGAAAAGACATCAGGTGTAATTCCCAGGGAGAAAAAGAAGAACCCCCCCCGTTTAAAACCATTTCTCTGGGTACCCATCTGAGAAAAGAGAACAAACTCCTTTAGAAAGGAATAAAGGAGCTTTAGGAGGAGGACTCTCTGGTCCCAGACGCACCTGAAACCTCCTGAATCCTCCATCACTGCAGTCATGGAGACACCAGCAGGACAAAGGACACCGCCAGCCTCCCGTGTGGTCCCATTGTTTTCTGCTGGGGGGACGTGGGGGCCGTGACGACGAGGTGAGGACTTGGCCTCTTAAAGGGATAGAGGGGGTGTTTGGACCTAAAGTAGAAGGCGTCGGGAGGAGTTCAAGTTGAAGTGAGCGAAATAATTGGATCATTTTCAACCTGTGCACCTTTCTGCTGTGAGCTGAAGCTGTAATCTAAGCTCTCCTCCAACTCTCACACCAACGAAAAGCTTTCCGAGGACAAGGATGCCAGCTGAAAACACTAAATAGTGTCTAAACACCATCGAGAGTCAAATGGAATACGTCGGCCCCGCTGGTCAATCACTACACACAAATGTAGATTTGTAACTTCTTTCACCTCCTATTTTCTTTTCCAGCTCCCTTTAAAAATAGAAGTTACGAGCTTCAGTCCTCACGGGAACAAAGGCGATAAAAAAAAAAAAAAACGGAACTCGTGTCCATTAATGGAGCTGTAACGTACTTTGGATGAAAGCATCCAGCAGCGAGCTGTCTGCATTAAAAGGAAGCACTCGGGGGATTTCTGTCTGCAGATTATTTAATATCTCGCCCTGCAATCAGTCCACCGGGCGACGCGCACACTCAGCACTTTCAGTCATGTGACTCCACTGCTGGCTGGACAGCGGGCGGACCGACACGGCGGCGTTTACCCGCCGGCTGCCTGTCTGCCACGGCAGAGGATGAAGCCTCTGAGGCCCTTTAGTCACGTCCCTCATTGGGTCTCATTGGTCCTCACACGCCCTGAGGCGGGACCTCGACGAGAGCCGAGCTACACGGATGTGAGCGGGCGCAGACTTCTGACTCCCCGGTTGTCACGGGTTTCCGCGTGCAGCCCGCGGAGCTGCAGCATCCACAGAAGATCACACTCCTCGGATTCTACTGGCCGCCAACGGTGGGAGATCAAAGCACTACTCGATGCAGCGCTGGGGTTTTGTGGGACTTCGAGAGAGAGGCTATAATCAGCAGAGCGTGGACGTGATCAGAGGCCAGACGCTTTCTGAAATAACAAACGTGTATTTCTGCACGTCTTCGGCCCAAAGTGAGAGGGTTTGGATTAAAATCATCCGACGCGCTCAGGGGGGAACCGACAAAGAATAGAACCATGTTTCATCAATACCAGAAACGGTAACGGTGGCGCGCTTTGATCAAGGTGGTGAGTTCTGCTCGCTAGAGGATATTCTTTATCATCAGTAGTCCGAGAGGCAGAGGTTACAAAATAAACCCAAAAACAAAAGACAAGACGAAAAAGTTTCTCCCATTGATTAAGCAAAAAAAACGTCTGGTTTGACGTCAAAGTGATTTAAGGCCACGAGCTTCTCAGCCTTTGTGCACGTGTGTGTAGTAGTGTGTAATAGTTCATCTCCACGTCACTGCCGTCTCACCTCACCAGGACACACACACACACACACACACACACACACACACACACACACACACACACACACACACACACACACACACACACACACACACACACACACACACACACACTACAGCAGAGTTGCAGCTAGATGAAGAGACAACATCTCAAAAACATGTTAAAAAACAGTTATTGGAACTAGTAGATCTTATTGGTAATTACACATCATAAGCTGCTTAGAACGAGTCTTTGCAAGTAATAGATCTCATCATAACGTCTCTAATCTCTATTTGATCAATAAATACAAATCATTTTAAATTCTCACCCGAACAAAAGTACAATTTACTTATCGCAAAAATACACGTGAGCTTGGTTGACGTTAGCGGAGGTATTTATCCAAGCGGCACCGTGCTAACGGCGAGTAGCTCTTCATCAGGGGAAGAACACGCCATCGACTGGTTCAGTCTGAAATACGACACACGGCTCAGGGGCCTGACAGCCCCCCCCCTCCTACTTGGGCAGATTTTAGACCCCAGGAACACACAAACACAGCCTCCATCAGCCGGTTAGCAACAGCTCATCAAATAACAGTTGCCTCCGGTCGATTTGCCAGACGGAACATTTAAATTTGACACAGAGGCTCATAAGCGTCCTCCCTCTCTCTCACACACACACACACACACAGAAACCCAGGAAAGCAAATGCATCTGGCAACCGACAAAGCGACATCTTCACGAGCATAAAGTCACACAAAGCAACGGCCAACGTTTATCGCCGCACCGATTATGCACAAACAACCAATGCATCCATGACGTGCGCATATCGATCATCAAAGGACGCCTGCGGCATAGAGACATTCTCTCCGGCGCTCCCTCAGAGATGTTTTAATTCCCATCATCTCCACAAAGCCGTAGGCGTGAGGACAGTTGTCTTTGGCCACCGTAGGAGCTGCGAGGACACAAAGGAGGCAGAAGACGACCCGAGACACCAGCAGGCGTGAAGAAGCAACGCAGGATCAAACGGATTCAGTGCGCGACGGGTCTGCTGCCCCCTGTCTGTGTGTGTGTGTGTGTGTGTGTGTGTGTGTGTGTGTGTGTGTGTGTGTGTGTGTGTGTGTGTGTGAGGGACGAGGTGTGTGTGTGATTTACAGTGGCTTACCAAAGATATTAGTGGAATGTCCTTTCTTGGCGAGGGGCTTCAGCTCGTTGTGTCCCCAGCCGTACTGTCGGTAGCTGTCCCACGCATGCTTCATCATCTGAGAAACAAAGAGGCCTTGTTAGGAGATGGAGACACAGCCGAGGGCTCGGGGGGGGGGACAGGGGGGTAGCAGGGTGATGATGTCTACATTTACACCGTTATTGCACTAAAACGTTGATCATTTGGTTTCTTAATCAGTAAGATTAATTCCTGCAAAATCGACCAGACGCAGCAGAGAGGAACTCCAGTTATTACAATCATTACAAATATATAATATATATATATATAATAACAAGCTTTGTAAATTTAAAACAATTCCACGCTGGCATTTTGACTGTTGAGGGTGAAAAGACATGAAACATATCTGGTAAGATCGCGTCACGCGCGTGCACGAAACAAAGCGACGTCCGCTAGCTGGCCAGCTAGCTACGCTAACGGCGTGACGGTAATCCACTTTGCGAGACGACAGCACCAACGTCATCAGAGTACTTAATTGAGCGCACAGGGTGAAAACAATGATTGATCCCGTGGAGTAAATGTGGCACGTGGCCGTTCAATAATACAAATCAATAAGCTCCGCTGGGAGAAGAAGAAAGACGCCTTCTGTTTGAAAACTATTCATTTTGATTCAGGCCTTTGCTCTCTTTCAATATTAAACTAATTGGCACCTGAGGGCCACCTGAGTGATTTAAATCAGCAATTCATCACTAAACTGCTGCATGTCCTGCACACACTGAACGCGACAATGAGCGCACGCACATTATCGCGTATCTGTAGCCGGATGGAACTGAAATCTCTTCTTCGTGCGGGAGAGGTGGAGGAGGAGGATATAAAAGAAGAGCAGGAGATTGTGAAATGGGCCCTGACATGGAGGCTGATGCGGAGAAGAGGCGCTCGGGGGGGGCAAACGGAGAAGATGACACAGCCGAGCAGCGGAGCGGCTGCCAGCTTCTCACTCAAGCACTGCTGCTCTCCTTCAAATGAAAAAGCCGTTTTTCCTGCTCCTCTTCCTCACGTGGCGTCGACTGCCTCGGACGAGCACATTCCCTGTCCGCTTCCACTGATACCCGTTGGCTCACTCCTCCCCGTGGGCCGTCGCCGTGGCAGCGCTCCTCTGGACTCCACCTGCGGCTACGGCGGCGCTTTGTTTTCCGATGTCGACCTTGGCGATGGCGAGCTGAGCTCGTACCAGCGCTCCCCGTCGCACAGCCGGTCTGGTTCATGGCGTTTTATTCACAGTTACCGCAGAGAACCGTCGCTCCGTGTTAATGTTGTCGCCCCCTGTGGACCAACGCGGTCTCTTCTCACCAGGATCCCTTCAGACGCCCCGTGTGCAGCAGCGTCTGATGAACAAACGGTGCAGCACCAGGCAGCAGGGTGCAAGCGCACACACACACACACACACACACACACACACACACACACACACACACACACCTCCTGCCAGCGCGGAACTAGCTGGCCGCCTCTCGATGGCGCCGTGTGAGCGCCGCCTCCCCTCCTTGGAGCGGGCAGAGCCGAGCTGGTAGACGAGGGCCAGCGGCTTCGCTGTGTCCCGGGCCCCCACGTGGCTTTCCAAGTCGTACGCCACGACACACACACACACATAAATCACCCGCACACACACCGTGACATGGACACTTAAGTGCTGGCTGACTCCCCTTGATCCACGTTGATTGGATACTTCATCAAAATCTGATTGGCCCGTATGCCAAGGACGAGCGCCACGGTGCAGGGTGCTCGGCGATGTTGACAAACTGCTTATTTAAAAAGGACCTTGGAATACTAATTGGGCATTAAACTAGAAAATTCCGTGATTGATTCTGACAGCCACATCTTGCAGTCACAGCGACAGGAGGTTTCTTCTTCGGGCCGAGCAGACAGTTAATCAGAAGAGGAACATGAATCCAGAGCACTTCTGTGGAAATCATCTCCCAGGAGGCTTTGCAACCACCAACGACTAAACATGTCAACAAGAAAAAAAAATCTGCCTTCAAACTAAACCAAAAACAGTCAGCCACAGCCCCAGTGCATGATGGGTAGCAGTGGTCCGTAAGCCTCATGTGGCTGCCAGCTCTGCTCCAGAGAGTCCAGCCGGTGGGGCCTGATGAGCCACTTTAGAAAATACATTTACTAAGAATTATTAAGCTGTTTATTGATAGAAAGCTGTGGAAGTGAGTGATTCAACTTCTTACCGGTGTCTTGAGGAAAAACCACAAAAAAAAGTGCAAATAGTGAATTTCAACTTGTACCTATAACAACGTACAGTGTAATTCAGAAGCTGATTCAAAATTGGTTTGGTTGTGTATTTCTTGCTAAACGCTGCTACCGTGACAAAGAAAACTCTCGTTGGGGAGAAAGTCTCCTGCGTTTAAATACTGCTCATTTACTCATTTAAATACTGCTGTCATGCATCTTTAAAACAAAGCAGCGTCCAGCCAGAGGCGTGACCTTCGAACCGAGAGAGAGAAGAAGCACAATCTCCCAAAGTACCAACAGGCGTGATTCACACACAAAATGAAAAATGTAAAATCAGCACAGTGCTGCACCTCCAGTCAGTGTGAGGGATTTAAAGCACCCTCGTCCCTCTCATCTCCCTCCAAATAGCCCCCCTCCCCCCCCGTCCCTCTCTGGCTTGACGGAGGGCCTTTCAGAGGATGCTTGAGGGCGGCGAGACTGTGACATCTGAATCGCTTCCCGCAGTAAATACAGTCACGGCAATCAGGCAGAAGGGGGAGGACAATAAATGTGCCGTGAAATCGAGGCAGCAAAAGACTGTAGAATTCTTTTTTTTTTCCTTACACATCTGTAAGGGGCTCGGGGAGCCGTTTACACGCATCGATCGGGAGGAGATGACCACAGCCAGAGGACTCTCACCACCATGTCCAGGTTTGGATCGGTTGTTATGGCAACAAAAGCTTTAGCGCACCAATTATAAACATACATTTTTCATTCATTTTATCCAAAACGACTTCCAAAAAATGCATTCAACATGACATTTGTTTTCATGACATATTTCAATATAACTTTTTGACTTTCTTCAAAATATTTCTCAACTTAATATTTTTATATTACCTTTTTTGACCTAATATTTGTTTACCGTTTTTCAAAACTTTAAACCTAACATTATTTTTACTTTTATATCTATTTTTCAAACATATTTTTACTTTTTTATATCTATTTTTCAAACATATCTTTACTTTTTTATATATATTTTTCAAACATATTTTTACTTTTTTCTACATGAGTTTTTTTTCGATGACATTCTCCAACCTATATTTAACATTTTAACATTTTTTGACATACTTTTAGTTAACTTATACTTTAAACATTTTTTCTTGCACCAATACTTTCTGAACCTTTTTTAACCTATTCAACAGATTTACTTTTTTTTTCAATTACATTTCCGATGACATCGTCCGACCTAATGTTTTTTGTACTTCTTTTTCCTAAAACATTTTTCAACATAACATATTTTATAACCTTTTTTCACCCCTAGTTTATTCCGAGTTTTTTTCCCCAATATGTTTTGACGTTATTTATTTTTACCTTTTTGACCCCCAAACATTTTCTAAATGTAATTCTCGATTTAATATTTAGATTTTTTTCAAAAAAAATTTAACCTAACAGACTTTGACATTCGTCAACCTAAGATTTATCAACATCTTTTGCTTTTTTTCCCCACAAAACATTTGAGAAACAACATTGACTTTTTTAAATGTATTCGGCCACATTATGACTTATTCAAAAGCTGAAAGCATGATTTCTCCTAAAACAGATTAAAAAAAAATTTAAAACCAAAATAAAAACCTCTTGTATAGAATTTGTGTACAGATATTGTGTGGGCGACAGGTTGCTTCGAGCAAATTCATTATGTTGAGTTATGAATGTGATGATGTTTGGAACTCGGAACTGTCAGAATTAGATGTCAGATTCTTGAATTATGGACAAAAATGTGTTTAATGAGGTCACGGTGACTTTTGATCACAACGTGTTCGTCCCTAAAAAGTTTGAGCGGATATTTGGAGAACCGTCATTACTGCGCTATCACCTACGATGGCAGCGATGCAGAGTCACTGGCTGGATCACATGACCCGTCCACGTCCGTTAAAAGGTTCATTCGTGCATATCGAGGACAACATCCAGCAGCTCAGCTGACATGAAGCATCAGAGGGAACCGCTTCTCAAATGTCACGCGCCACAAAAGCCAGCGACAGGTGATACGACCGAACATACTCGCCACCTTTTCACGTCCCAAAGGACATAAAACGTGAACAACACAAAGGAGGGGGTGGGCGTTTTTCAAGATGGCCGACTCCTGCCAGATTCGTGGCGTCCGCCGAGACGTGATTATTGCTTCGCACGAATCAATGCGGCAATCCTTCTGAAAACTGAAGATTTGTATGAGTCGACGGAGCTGCTGGTGGGTGGAAGATGCATCCAGAGGGGGAGAAAGGGTTAAAGAGACACAGAGCAGGGGAGTGATGAAAGCTGAGCTGTGCCCTACCCGGAGGAGGGTGCGCCCCCCCCGTCCCTCCCACACTCTTCTCCCTCCCCCTTCAATGGCGGCCACAGATCCGTCTCTCGCTGACAGCTCAGCAGTCCACTAACTACTTGTAACTTGTTTCTCCAACATTATCGATGAATATCGACTGACGGACCTTATTGGAGGGCAACCGTGCATTTGTGCAGTAACAGCCGGCTTGTTTGAGTAGCTCTGAGCCAGCAGTACTTCACCATGCGACAGGTGAATAGTATTGGAGCGGTTAATAGTCAAATTCATTCCATTCCTTCTCTTTTATTGCCCTTAAGCTCTCCCCGGCTCCAGGCGGCGGTTTAATGGGCGCTAATGGTCGGGTTGCGTAATTAGCAGGAAAGGACAAAGTGGGAAGTAGCGGAGGGGAAGTAAAAGGAAGCTTTTTGTGTTCCCCCGACTCTATGAAATATGTATTGAGAGGAGCGTAGCGACGAGGCCGGTTTCTATTTCTGGAGGAACAAAGGGGGGCGACCGGTCCGCTCCCTTGGCGGCGGTCATGAGGAGACGCGACGCCATTGCGACGGGCCGCGTCACAGATCATGCTCTCCACATGAGGGCGAGGACCAAGGTGATTGCAGCAGTCAGGCCCGAGGGAAGCGCTGATGTGCACAGTCAAACACGGGCGGCATCGAAGAGCAGCTTTTTAGTTACGGTTAAGCTTCAAGGTTTGTTATGAAACCAGCGGAAAGAAAAACACAATGAGACAACTGTTCGACAAAGTCAAAATCACCACACATGCAGAGACATCTCCACAAGGGACGACCAGAAGACGGATGCTGAGTCAAGGCACCACAATTGTTGGCCTGCTTGTGCAGTTGTGATTGGTCGGAAGTGGTAATCAGGAGAAGAGGAGCATTTACAGCTGCTCTCTCCTTGCTCAACATTCTTTGAATGCAATTATGAGGAGAAACGAAAAGAAAGGGGCATTTACAGAGAGAGAGGAGAGAACGATACGGGTCTGCACGAAGCCCCATCTGCATTCTGCACAGGCTCCTTCCGTCTGGCTTCACCGGCGCATGTACGGTGTACTAAACTGTGTACTAAATATCAGCTTTCCTCATTAAATCCATAAAGGAATAGTTATGACAGGTTGTTTTCTAAAAGACATTCATGCGATTCCCAGATTCAGAAAGCGGGGAAACATCTGGATGAAGTTAGAAGCTCATTAACGAAACATCTGTGCGTGTGAGCGCTCACGCCAGGTCATGCAGAACAGTCCTGGTCCGACGTGTCCAGTCCAACGTCTCGCGCCTGCACGGACACACTGCTTGTGTGACATGTTTCAAACAGCGTTGTTGTTGTTGTTGTTGTTCCGATGTAGTTTTGTCGTTGTTATTTGAATTGTTCCGTCGGAGGGACGACAGAACTGTGGGGATAATTGGAGGCACTGTGAGGAGAGGAACCGAGGTGCCGTCCGATCTGCTTATCGTACCAGATATCGTGTGATCGACCCCCTCAGGGAGCACACAACGATGCATGATGGGTAAACGCTCTCACCTCTCGGATCTTGTCGCGCCTCTCCTTGGCGTCGGGCTCCGGGGGCTCCCCGTCGCTGACGCCCACCACTTTGGGCAACGGGACGGGGGGCAGCGGCTTGGGCCCCGCGTCCTTCTTCTTCAGGTCCTCCATCACTTTGTTCTTCTCCGTCTGGATCTCGGCCTGCAGCTCCTCGCGGGACTTCCTCAGCTTCTCCTTGGCCTCCTGCAGCGCGCGCTCGTGGTCGGCCCGGATCTTGTCCCGCAGGCTCTCCTCCTCCTCCCTGTGGGGGCAAGGCGGAAGGTGAGGTACACGATGGGAGTGAGCTGGAGATGAGAAACAAGCGCGTCTCCTCCTCCCTACGCCGAAGGTGTGAGGGGGAAAAGGAATTGTTACGATTCTTCTCGACGGTAAAAGGAAAAAAAGGATGTAAACGCAGCATTAATAATAGAAAAGAAGTGTCAACTATGAGAAATGTGGGCTTTTATAAGTAACACAAAGTAGGTCAGCCCAGTCGGACGTGAAGGTTAAGAGGTTCACGCGTGTACCTTCACGTGGTCGTCGTCATCATGTCGTAACCTTCTAGAATCACATTCCTTTAAAACGTGTTTTAAAACGGGGGATCCGGAGCCTCAGGATGCAGAGAACAATAAACCTGAGAAACCTCGCCAATAGCTGCGATAACACGAGAGCTCGTCTATCGGCGACCTCCTGTGTGATGGGCTGAAATGTGGGCGGAACCGCGACCCGCTGAGGTACGTGTGGACGCAGCTGCAGGCCTGCGCGGCTCGACCTCAGAACACAACACCACGGGGGGGGCGTGTGTGCAACAATGTTCCACCTCTGTGCTCTTCTACATGGAGGCACATGGTGTTCTGGGTCATCTGATACTTTTGTGCATGTTTATAATCTTGTGGTGCCAAAGACGATCGTCCCCTTTATGCACGTTTACCTTTTCCTTCCTTTAAAGTCCTGTTGATGATTTTACACCAGTGTCCAGTGAGAATGAGCGTGTGTGTGTGTTGACTTAGTGACGGCTTTGAGCGTGTGGCTCGAAACTAAAACATTAGAATAAACCGAGGGCTCTGTGGCTGCTTATTTGAATTATCGGTAATGTGAACCCACCGACGGTGAGCAAGAAGTGGACGTAATCATGTGACCTCACTCACTGGTTTGTGGAACGACGTAAGAAGTAGGGGTGGGAATCTCTCGGCACCTCACGATCGATTTGGTTCGGATTATCGATTCTAAACCGATAAAACAATTATCAATGCATCTCGATTTTCTAAATTTTCTCAGATCTGAGTTTGCTACTCAGAGGTTGCGAATCACTTCCTACTTTATTTGATAATTAAAGAAAATCAACAGATGAATTACCGTCTCTAATTTTTTATCAGAGAAACAAATATGATTTTCTATCAACAATGCAAGAACCAACGCAGCTTGTATTTCAACACAATATGAAGTAGCCGATGTAAAAAAATCAGATTCACTTTTCTTTTAAATGAAGAAAAAGCTGCTCTTAGTCTCAGACCCGTCCGTATTTGTAAAATACCGGGAAAAAGTCCAAATCTGTGAATATCTTGCCAACTTTCAATACGGATCGACTTTTTGGAAAATGGAAATAATGAGGTAAGATGTGCGCAGGCTCCTCCATAGTTCGGTAAAGTTATTAGATATTCAGATTCAGACTGACGGACCGGTCTGCGAGCTGGACGCATTGCTCTTAATGTGCCGGTAATGATGGTAAATGATGGTTGTAGCTGGTTGTCATCTACGCTCCACTACGGTTACCGAAGGGGGCGTTTGTGTTTTGACAACGTTTTATCTCATAATTTAGACTTTCTATCCCCTTTCTTTAGTCAGGAAATGGGCTTCTATAGTTGTGTGAACGCATCACTCCAGCCAATCCAAAGACGGGGTTTGTAACCAATCAGGTGTAGCGACCATGGTGACTGGCTCCGCCCCCTCACTGTCAGAAAGAAAAACAGCGAGCGCGTAGAAAACTCCTTCGAGCGCGAGCAGAGACTCACCTGCATTCATCTGCATGTCCGGCTCCAGACCATCGGGCAGCAGGTGAGGACTTAATGAGCGTATATCCAGCAGCTCCAAGGACACACCGTTATTTATTTATCTACACGCACCGACTTAATGGCGGCTCGACAAGTTGCCGAGCAGCCGCACCGCAATAAAACCTAATGGCGTATGTGACAGAAGCCTGCAGGGCAACATGGGGCGAGCTGCGCACGCAGGAATACAAGAGAACACAGAGGAAGAAGAGCAGACCGGTGAAGACAAGAGAGGACAGCGGATTATGAAGGACAAAGAAGAGAAGAGCATCAACCATCATTCTGACAGCCCATCCTGCTCAGGGACCCACGGGGCCGAGGCTTTTCCCAGCATGCACCAGGTCCAGAGACGGGGGGAAAGCCAGGACACTCGCTCACACGTCAAAAGAGGCGACCCGAGGGGAAAGGAGACGGATTAATGAGCCTTTACACAATGCTTGCATCCATTTAATAGTTCCATCAACATGGGACCAAAATAAACAGCTTCCCAGTTACACAACTTCGCCCTGGAAACCGCTCGTGAATACTCACATGGAAACTCGCTGTGTCGGACTCGAGAAAACATATTTTGCATCACCAACGTGCCAATTACAGTGGAGCCGGTGGATGCGTGCTTTTGTGTCGTCTTTGTGGGGATTTCATGTTTATTGTGTGTGTGTGTGTCTGTGCGCGCAGAGTGCATGGCCTCCTCTACGCCTCCTTGAGAGAGCCCTCAGCAACACGCATTTCAATGGGATATTCAGAGGGCGCCAATGTAAGACGACTGCGTGTGTGTTCATGAGATGCGAGGGAGCGTAAGCAAAGAAAGTGAGCAGGTTAAGCCTGAGACGTGTGCTGACGGCTCCACGTATGCAAACATCATCCATGATAATTCTGTTCCCCCCCCCCCAGTCTCCCTTCCGCCGAGCCATCCTCACTCAGTCTGGCGTCGCAGACGGTTCCCTTTGAGTCTCGTATAAGGCCGATCTTCCAAATTAAGAGCATCAACAGACTGACGCAACTACCTCCCGCCCCCAGTGACCACGCCCACACCGCCAACCGGCTCCTTCGGCTCTCACGTCCTTGCCACCCCCCCCCCCAAAAAATGACCCTGCCTTGTATTTTTTGCATTTTTTATGTTAGCCTCGCTGCTCGCCAGTTCTTTCTTCTTCAGTGGTGTCGCTCAGCATAAGCAGCCCCCCTCATGGCAACTGGAGGGAAGCAGCCGTCTGTCTGCCTGCTGGGCAGATTTTTCTTCTTTCTTTTTTTTTTTTGAAGCCGTGGAAACAAGGCTCCAGGGTGAGCACGTAACCATGGCAACGAGAGACACACACACACACACACACACAGTACATCAGATTTGGGAAGTGATGTAAATTTGGACTGTCGTTATTGGGAATGTTTGGATCGATTGGATCACCGGCCTCCTGTGAGGAAAGCTCAGCTGACTGATATCGTTGGTTCTCCGGGTTCATTCAGGAGGAGAATTGCGATCCGTCTCCGGGCTTCGTTGTCGTCGACACAGAGGTCCCATCATGGAGGGACCGCAGAAAAAGAACAGCAAGTTAAACAGCTGATCGGACCGCAACAGGAAGTGTGTGGAAAGGGTCACAGGAAACGGTCTCTTCGTTCCTACGCATCCAAGGATTGAGCTCCTTCCATCCAGCAAGAGGAATCAGCATCGCTAGGATTTCATTGATAGTTCTACTCTTGATTGATACACCCTATAGGTGCGGTTCCTTGAAACTAACATGGACACATCACGGAGCGCTGTATTGCCGAATGTGTAAACACCCAACGGTGCCTGACCACATGGCGCGTCCATCAATTCATCCCCGCTGCTCGCTTGGTAGCGCTACAGTCACGCCTGCCGTTACCAAGCAACCACAACGGCTGTGATGATGATAATGACTTACTCAGCCTCATTTGCTTGACCTTTCAAACGGCGATGCGGTTGCGTCCTTCGGCGGTAAAGGTGAACTATTATATTATAAAATGAGATAAAAGTGGTTAACGTCTCCTCCATCGATTGACCGTTGACCCTAAAAAAGAAAGAAAACGCCGTAGTCCACCCTGGGGACTCCCCCTCTGCGGTGGGGGGGTTTGTTTTAAGGCAGCTGAGCTTTGGCTCGAGGGGTTTTCCCTTCAACGTGAGCCCTCAGACGGCGCCCATGTCCTGCTTCTTTTCCTGCCCCCTCCCTGTGACCCACTTGGCTTGCATGGGAGCCCCATGGAAGCTCTGCGGAGCGCCGCTGTGGGTGTGTGCCAGCATCCCGTCTCTCCCCCCGCCTCCCGCTCGCTTGCTCCCCCTCCGCGACGGGCACGCGCCCCATTATCTTCGGCCCATTCGCGGCCTCTCGGCGGCTCGCCCGTCTCCGTGCTGTTAAAGCAGCCCTCCTGCTTTCTCTTTATCTTGTTGTTGCGGCAGAAATCTTTCCTCCCACTTCGCTTGTGTATCAATTATCTGAAGGCAGCTCGACAAATGCAGCCATCAAAGCCCACAACGCCTCGTTATAGCAGCGCAAAACCACGTTGAAGCTTCTCCGCGTACCTCTCTCCCATGTACAGGCGCACATGTCCCCCCCCCCCCACCCGGCCTACATGACCCTCTCCTCCAGCATGGGACCACTGAGCAGCCCGGCCAGATGAGGTTCCTCCCCGAGAGGCTCACGATTTCACCGTGACAGAAAACCACCTTCGAGCGCTAGTTTGGGATTCGGTTTCCCTGGACTCCATCCTGGAAGCTCTGGCTTCTGCCCAAAGTCACAAAATGAGCACGACCTCTTGATGACGCACAGCTCAGAGATCAGAGCACGAAATAATGAATACGATGAGCTTTTTCTGTCATTTATGATGCATTGCGGCCTATTCACATCTCCTTTCTCTTTATTTATTATTGCAGCTGTTCTACGAGACCCCACACTGGTCCGTTGTCCGTTACGACACCAGATAAGGAACAGCGCTCATCCCTTTGCTTCCTTATCGGGACGGTTATGGTTTATTTTTACAAATAATGTTAATGTTCATCTTGTGTATAAAGGATATCATACTTTCTCCTCTAATCATTGATCATCGTGGTCACTGATGTTCTGCTCGTTGGTCTCACGGTTTGATAAACCTTTTCTGAGGGTTTGATCACATTGGAGACGAGCCATATTGGGGGGAGGGGGGGGGGCAGAAATGCCGCAGTGATAAGCCTGTGATGATTCCGATCACTAATCTGGATATTGCTCCA